AATTGTGCTTTTCACCCAAGGCCACCCATTCGTAAAAACCCAGGTGAAAAAGGTAAAGAACTGCTCACTTCCAAGTTAACATTTAACTAGCCTGCACTGAGCTTTTAATAAATTCTAAGTCACGTATGGAGCTCCTGACTCGTGACCTCAGGATATGAGTGGAGACTGTATGAATCCAGACCCTGACTCTAAGGCCAGAGAAGGAGGCACAGCAGTGGGACTGTAGGTGAATAAATATGTGGGTTTTACTTATATGTGGAATCTGAAAAAAATAAACAAAAAACAGAAACAAACTTAGAAATATAGAGAACAAAATAACAACAAAAACAATAAACTTAGAAATATAGAGAACAATTTCATGGTTGGCAGATGGGAGGGGGATTGGAGGAATTGCTTAAAAAGGGGGAAGGAATTGAGGTATGCAAATTGGTGGTTACAAAATTGTCACAGGATATAAAGTATAGCATAGGGAATACAGTCAATAATATTGAAATAACTGTGGAAGATGAGACCTGATCTGTAATAATCCAATCCTGGCAATTTTCACCTCTACCTCCCATTCCAAACTGTGTGTTTCTGCTTACAATTTCTCCTGACTTTTACCCCAAACAACTTTTTTCTTAACATAGATTTATGTGACCAATAGCCTTTAGGTGACACCCTAAATAATATACTATAGAACTATATGTATGATATTTTCCCCTCTCAAGAACTTGAAGACTCAACTTAGGAGACTATTATGTAACAGAAAATTAAACCCAAACTGTGGACCTATCAGAAAGCTGGAAGACAGGGAGGGAGTTGATTTTGGTTTGGATACACTGATTTTCCTGTTCCCTGTTCCAACACCTCGCATCGGATTGTGGGGTGAGTGACTTGATCCCAGGGTAGGTGCAGTGAAGGGATGTAATGAGCCTATTAAGTTCTGCTAATGTCCTGGAAAGGCATTCAGCTGAGAATGGCAGGGATATCAGTTCCCACCTTGGACCTGCCACGGGGAGCATTACATGTGCACATGCTGCTTCTGGTCTCCACAGGAGTCATCTGAGAAAGCAGGGTATGACCTGAGTTGCTAGAGTGTGTGCGCCTAGGATTGCACTTTACCACTCCCCACATCCTAGAGTCTCCCCTCTGCACTTGGGGGCTCAGACTGCAGAAATCACAGCTTTATCACTCCTACTCTAGTATATACTCATCCACTTACTAAAATGATCAATTGTTTAGTTGACTAACAGTAAATATAATGCATCTGGCTGGCATAGAGAGTTGTTTGTTTGTTTTGGTGGCTTTTTGGGGGGAGAGGAGGGCGGAGAAGGGGTTGTCCTTTTTCTTTTCTTTTCTTAAGGGAAAAAAGATTGTATGGCTTATTTCTCCAGAAGTCTGAGAAACCAAGGAACCAGATTCACCCATTGTTGTGACTGATATTTACTCAAGCACTTCCTTTGTTCTGGCACTTTGGGGAGTGGGCAGAAATGATGTCCTTTCTCTGATAAGCTGATGGTCTCAGTGTGTCTGACTTGCCAGTTTGGGAATGGTATGGGATGGGAGGTCATGCTGGGCAGGGGGTAGGCTAGCATAAAGACAAAGAATGATTAAGGAAATGGGGATAAGAAAACAATTGGGTGGGATAGATGAAAAGACTGGAGGAAAATCGGGGAAATGAGAGGCTAGGGTATTAGATGGAATACCCACACAGACATTGTCATCACTAGCTCCCTGCTTATGGCATGTAGGCTGTGAGAGACCTCCCTGTACATTTTAACCAAAGAATGTGCCCAGAGTGGTAGGTATTGTACTCCTCTAACACTTTTACATTCATAGAGAAGCTTGTAAGCGGTTCACGTTTTAAAATCAGATTGCTACTTTTGGACTTGAACCATGCCTGGATGGTATTTCTGAACATGACTGTGCATAAGAAGGTCTGGAAGAGTCTGTTTTGGACAGATGCCTGGGCTTATCCACAGAGAGTCCAACTGAGCTTGGTAGGTCACAGAATCCACGTTTAAAGCGTGCCCTTCTTGGTGATTCTGAACATATCCAAGTTTGATAGCCATCAGATTAAATCATATTATAGAGCTTTAAGTGAAACCATATCATAAGTCACCTTAAGTGAAACCTTATTTCAGATTGCCTTAAATGAAAGTAACGTATTAGCATAAGCTATTTCAGACGTAGGATTATTTGAAAAGATAACAAAGTGGTGCTAAATTTCAGAATGAGAAAAATCTCAACTTGTTCTAGCAGGAATTTCTAGATAGCACACTGGGTTTCTTTCCATTTTCTTTCTCCTGGTGTATGAATAAACAGTGTTATTCTGCAGCTGACCCTGTAGTGACTTAGAAGTCACATCATCACATTTTGGGAAAACTATGTATTTAGAATCTATGCCTACTTTATTTTTAGGTGGAAAGTCCACTTTTTCTTTTTAAATAGTCATTTTTTTCTTTCTGAATTTAGTAGTAAATATACACCTTTGCCACATTAAACTCTTTTTTTGCATAGTTCTTTATGAACCTGTCTTATCCTCTTCATCTCTAGAGGAACTATATCTCAGTTGTCTTTATATTTCTAAAGTCCTAGCATAGTGACTTATTAAAATAAATATTTCATGAATAAATGAATATGAGATTGAAGTTAGAAGTGACACATTAAACTAATTGTTTCCTCTCTGATCTCTGTATTATTCTTTAAGCATCTTTAGCTTCTGGGGCAAATAGTGGGTATAATGATATGTAGCATTAATAAAAAATAAAACTACGCTCAGAGATTTACAGAAGCTCATAAAGTGTCAAATCCAGAGCAATTCATTTTTTCCCAGCAAGCCCTCATAAATCCAGGCCATGGAGTCAGTCTGCTGATCTGGCCACATCCAGGTCTCTTCCTTCCCAGCTGGGCTCCTGGAGCCTCCTCCTCGCCTGGCAAACACTAACTGGCTCTCACTGCATGCAGGTCTGAAAGAGGTAGTAAGAGCCTAGCACCTGGGTACCCAGGCTTTCAACTGCAGAGTGTTTGGAGGTGCGCTGCAGTGCTCTGATAGATACTGCTAGGATTAACCTTGAGTGCACTAGACATTTTCCTAGTTCCATAAAGTCATTCATATACTGGCCACCAGACACTGTGAGCCTATGTGATAGAATATGACATTAATTTAGAAATCTGACATCAAGGTCCAGTTGGAGAACAAAATAAATATAAATGATAAATGTTATGATGGAAGAGGTGTACTCTGCAGAGCACACAGAAGGGGCCATTGATGAACTGGGAAAACAGGAAAGGCTTCCTGCAGGAAGTGGCATCTGAGCTATGAGGTGAAGGATGAGTCTGCACTGTCTGGTTGCAGTGGTGAGAGGGCTCTGATTCTGGTGAAGGAACAGCAGAAGGTGCGGGGATGCGGGGAGCATTTGGGGGACTGCGTGTGCTTCCATGTGGCTGGAGGATAGGAGCCAGGTGAGAAGAGAGACTTTACTCCATATACTAGTGAGTGAGTTTGAACTTGATACTTCTTGAAATAATGGGATCTATCAAAGGGTGTGGGGCAGAATATGCAATATTGAGAGATTAGCCATAGAAGCATGAGGTTGGAAACCCCCTATACTATCTTTTTGGAAAATTGCACCTGGAACCAGAGAAAAATTTGTCATAGCTACAGATGATCACTTATGAATCCAGAATGAATGTTAAAACCCTAACAAACTAAGTGAGAAGATACTCAAAGTTCCTGAAACTATTCATGCATCTGCATATTAGGGGGTGGCATATACTTGGTTCTGTTTATAGGTAAGGGGCTGTTATTCAATAATGTTTTTAAGAAAAGAGGACCCTGACAATCTTAGTCTGGCAGAGACCAAGGTCACCTTATTCAAGTGACATAAAAGCCACTTGACTAGGCTGAAAATGTTTTCCCAAAACTGATTCCAGAGTTTCTTCCCTAATGGCTTCTGTGAATTTAGGCTGAAGTGCTCTAATGGTACATTAGGGAAGGGCAGTAAAACCTGAGAGTGGAGGACCAGGGTAGCAGGCACAGCATCGCTGTTCTCTGGTCGAGGAGCACTGCTTCCAATATTTGTTCCAGGAGAATTTTGAAAATTCTATAAGCTATTCCTCAAAGTAGTTATCATGAAACTACTGGAAGAGGGTGGGTTTTGTTCCCTTTTAGGGATTTAAGGATCTCACCAAAGCACTGAAGACTGGTCCAGATCTTTCAATCAACCACATTCACCCCTGGAATAATATTAAGTAACTAGAGAATTATAGCATCATCCTATATTTTCATCCTAAGGAAAATTAGAATCTCTGCACATTTAAAATAAACTCCTTTTTTGTTTCTTATTTTATAGTCTTTACAGTCATCCCAGATGTACCCAGATGAAAATTAGTGTAAATTATAATTAGTATTACTACCTTAGAAAAATTTAAATGCCCCTTATGACATTATGGAGCAATACTTACATGCTTAGATATATGCAATAGAAATTAAGAGTCTGAGTTTTTTAACGAGAGAGACCCCGGCTCAGAGCCCAGTTCTTTCATTTCCTGTCTCTGATCCTGGGCTAAGTTACTTAACTTCTTTAAGCCTTGGCTTTCTGATCTAGAAATTGGAGGTGTTCATGGTCATTGTCTCATAGATTCACTGTGAGAATTGAATAAGATTGTGAGAAATGAGGGGCCATTACATTATTTCAACCCTATTTAGCATTCTTTTTAAAAAATGTATATTTTATTGATTTTTCCACAGAGAGAAAGAGAGAGGGATAGAGAGTTAGAAACATTGATGAGAGAGAATCATCGATCAGCTGTCTCTTGCACACCCCCTACTGGGGATGTGCCCGCAACCCAGGTACATGCCCTTGACCGGAATCGAACCCGGAACCTTTCAGTCCTCAGGCCGACGCTCTATCCACTGAGCCAAACCGGTTTTGGCCCTATTTAGCATTCTTGAGCACTTTCTCCTTTAGTTATGTTTGTTTTATTAACAGCAACTTTCTTTTTTTACTCCCTAGGGATATGAAGCCTGACAATATTTTGCTTGATGAACATGGTAAGTGAATGATTTGTTTGCAACAAGTTTACTTCTACCTTGATATAGAACAATGATTATCCCCAGCTAAGGAGTATTACATGTAGAAAAGGTGTCTTGCTTGACTTGAGTTACATGTACAAACTCCCATTTTGTTTTCTTTTTAATCCTTGCCCAAGGGTATATTTTTATTGCTATTAGAGAAAGGGAGAGAGACAGAGAGAGAGAGAGAGAGAGAGAGAGAGAGAGAGAGAGAGAGAGAGAGAGAGAAACATTGATGTGAGAGGGAAGTATCTGTTGCCTCACACACACATGCCCCCAGTAGGAATGGAACCTGCGAGTCTTTGGTGCACAGGAAGATGCTTCAACAACTGATCCACACTGTCCAGGGTACATACCCCATTTTATAAGTGGGAGGATAAGCTGAAGAAACTTTAGTATTTACAGAAGTGGTGTAGTACACCAATATACCCTAAACAACACTGAATTTACATAATGAGAAAGTAACTCTTTTCAATGTCCTTCCACTCCAACTCATTCCTTCAAGAAAACAGTGTTTTGGTGCTGGTTTACCTTATACCTTTATGACCACCATCTCCTTTTTTTTAATAAAGATGAGCAGGCCTCAAACTTAGTGCATTAAGTAGGCAATAGTATTTCCCCCTAAATCTGGAACACTGTTTTGTTGGCATTGCACCCACTTTTATGCTTTCCTTCTTAGGAGGGCAAATTGGTCTTACATTTGCAGAAGGATGTTGAGTTTTCTGTTTAAAAAATCAACCAGGGTTCTGGCCAGGTATCTCAATTAGTTAGAGCATCATCCCAATATACCAAGGTTGCAGGTTCAATCGCTGGTCAGGTACATATAAGAATCAACCAGTGAGTGCATAAATATGGGGAACAACAAAAATAGATATCTCTCTCTCTCTCTCTCTCTCTCCCTCCCTCCCTCCCTCCCTCCCTCTTTTCCCCCACTTCTCTCCCTCCCTCCTTCCCTCTTTCTGAAAAAAAAAAAATCAGTGGCTTTAAAGAAAAGTATAAAGTAGATGACAATATGTGGTACCCAGATAGAAATGAGATATAGGGATATGGGAAGAACCATGAAGGTTAAAAAAACAAATGCCAGAAGTTCAGAAAACACTGATTAAAGATACCCTATAGAACAAGCTTTTGCCGACAATGATTAAATGTGTCTATTCTCTGTTTAATATTTATTTGAATGAACATTTGGATTTATTGGTTCATCAGAGCAGACTATAAGTTATCTATGTTACAGTGGCAATAAGATCCTTGTTCTTTTCAGAAAGCTGCTAGATGAGTCATGAATCTGCAAAGCTCCTTACTCATGTGACTTTAACAGTTAGGATTTGCAAGTGGGAATGAAATTCAAGTACCATCCATGGCTCATTATTTATTTACCTAGTTGCATTCGAACCTGGTTTGCCAGACCCCACCTGTGCTCAGAGAGCTAAGAAACACTTCTGTGTATGACCTCTAATTTTAAGGCTCGGGGTCATTATTTATTTACCAACTCTCTGAAAAGATTTTTCCACTTTCAACGCCTTATTTCTTCCTTCCCTTCACTGCTTCTGACATTTGGGAACAGATTCTCTGGATTTCAGAAATGTGAGCAATGGTGAGATTTAGCATGAAGGTGACTTTTGTTAACACACCAGCTCTCCCTGGTGCACATAAACTTCACGGATATGGAGAGGGCTTCCCCTAGCTTATAGAGGCCACCTTTGCACAATTTAGAAAAAGGTGCTTCTTTGCCCACCGAAGTCTCATGAAAGTGCATGGCTGGCTGGACAAGCAGGACCCTGGTTGGGGCTCTGTTCCCACCTGTCCTGGTTGCCCTTGTTTACAATATATTGCTCTACCATTCATTAAGGCTCTGAATGGAGACATACAGGTCCTGTCAACCAAAAACTTGTTCAAGATTTATCTTCCATTTCAGAGAACAATGTTTTAATCTTAGATTTCAAGCATGGTTTCATTCCAATTTTACCATGAAGTCGTGTGTCCTCTCGCATTCAACTTATTTCACCTCCTCATGGTTTCTTGCCAGCTTGGTGGTGGTAGGTTGGGAGAAAGGTCCAGAAATAAATTAATGTGTAAGTTTAACCACTCTCAGAGACTATCCTTGTGAACGATTAATTGTGGATTCTGGAACCAGATCACTGAAGTTCATAACCAAAGAAGATGTGATACATATATACAATGGAATACTATTGAGTCCTAAAGAAAGATGAAACACTGCCACTTGTGCCAACATGGATGGATCTTGAGAATATCATGCTAAGCAAAATAAGTCAGATGGAAAAAGTCAAGAACCATATGATTTCACTCATATGAGGAATATAAAACTGAAAGCAACAAACAGACAAGACAAAAAACACACGTAAATTCATAGACACAGACAACCATATGGTGATTACCAGAGGGGAAGGGGGGCAGTGAGAGTGGAAGAGGGTAAAGGGGTCCAAATATATGGTGACGGAAGGAGACTTTAGATGGTTAACAAACAATGAAATATATGGATGATGTATTATAGCATTGCTCACTTGAAACCTATATCATTTTATTTATCAATTGTCATCCTGGTAAATTTAATAAAATAAAAACAATTCACCCACTCACTTGCTCAGAGAGGGCCAATAGGTTGCCTAAACTTCCTTTGCTACCTTAATTTCTCCAGGGATAAAAAGAATATTTATTTCTTAGGCTTATTGTAAAAACAGATTGTCATCTATACTAATAAAAGATTAATATGCTAATCAGACCAGGAGACCTTCCAGACATCCTTCTGGACAAAGCCATGGTGGTGGGGCTGAGGCAAAGGCAATTAAGGGCGATCAGGCCAGGAGAGGAGGGCAGTTGGGGGCAAGAAGGCAAACAGGCAGAGTGGATAGGGATTTTCTGTATTATATTTCATTCTGAACTCTATTTGAGAATCTCTGCAGCTAATAAGAGAAACATTGCTTGAGAATTAGATATGTAAATGGATAAAAAGCAAACAAACGAAGAACATTGAGAGCTCTTCTCTAAATATTGCTTTGGGGTCCCTTTTTAGGGGAAATTCTTTCTATTTATTCAAATTCTGAGAAACTTTCAGGCATTTCAGGCTTTCAGGCATTTCCCAGGGACCATAATGAACTGCTTTTAAATAAACCAATTCCTGGTAATCTCCCACCCTGAGCTCAGCATGTGGAGTTGCTCTTGGAAGAACCCACTGAACTGAAAATCAATGCCTGCCTTTTGGAGGGTCTTCTGGTGTTATTTTCCATGTTTCATTTATCCTCTCTGCTCACATGTATATTTCACCCCAGACAGGCCATTACATGCACCTCTTACCTAGGGATTTCAGCAGTTGGGAAGGATAATTGCCCTTTTCTGATCTGCCTCCTATGCCCTTTCCTCTAAGTGAGCTGTGTATGATACTGCATTGCTTATATATATTCATTCAGCACCAAGCAGAAACTTTTTTTATTCTTACTGATTCATCTTGGTTCATAATCATCAGAAAAGGTTGATATTTAAAGAAGCAAAATCCTTTCATAGAGTGGAGAATCTTTCCATGGTGTGAATAAACATTCCTTGCACATTAGAATTTGACTTTAAATGTGTTTTAATTTAGTGGATACCTGCTGTTTTCCCCCAATGTCTTACTCACTAGTTCAGAGCCCAAGAAGGCATTAGACATTGGATAGCCCTTAACCAATTGTCCTGATATATATTTTTTCATATCCTACCAATTTAAGCACCCCATCCAATTCCATCAATTTCATAGTGTCTAAAATTCTCGTGTTTTTAAGTTATTTGGGAAATAAATGCTCTGTTGGGAAGAACAATACTGTCTGTCCGGTATATCTGACAAAATAAAATTACAGCATCATCCATAATGTAGTTTTCTTAATATCATTCATACAACTGGGGAACAGAGAAAGGCAAAAACTTAGTCTGTGGCTGTGAAAAAGAACTAACTTGCTATTTTAATAGCTCCCACCCTGCAGATCCCCAAAATGTGCTTAAAATCAAGTGGGCATCATATGAACACACACACACACACACACACACACACACACACACAGCTTTATGTAACTCTGGAGTTTCTGATTATGACAAACAGCAATTGAACACTTACTTCCTGCCAAATGCTGAGCTGTCTCCCACAGACATCATTTCATTTGATCTTCCCAACCATCTCATGAGAAGACTATTGTCATCATCCCACCTTTACAGAGAGATCATCCACCTTTCTAAGATAACACAGCCTATTAGTGATAGAAACTGGACTTAAAGCCAAATAGTCTGACCCCAGAGAATAGGCTCTTCACCACAGCATCTCAAAGCTTGTGAACCACTGATGCAGTGCTCTGAGCATGACCCCTAGGGAAACAGAGAACAGGGACCACCTCTTCTATGATATGGTGAGTTATTGAAGTCACCCACTGGTACCACTCAGGCAAGGAAACCTTCACTTTTAGCTAGACGAGTGCTACTTTGTCTTGAAATGGAATCACATAAGCAAACACAAACCCTGTGGGTATAAAACAAACCTTGGCAATAGAGGCAGTAACATTTATCTCTAGCAGCAGGCTGGATGCCATTAAAGAGCAGATAGTCAAGTGTGGCAGGAGTAGGATGGAGGAGAGACCTGGACAAAGAGTCCGATGACATGGCCTCCAATTACAGCTACAGCTCCTTGAAACCACGGACGCATGGAAATGGAAATGCCAACACCTCCAGATTCTCTGACAGCACGTGGCTTTCATGCCAACAGCTAACATAACAAGCTTATCTGCCTGAGCTCCTGGGGCTGCCCCTTTCTTCCTTCTTGCTGTTTGTCGGTGCAAAGACTCCAATGCACTTTGCAGATGCACTCCCTGCTAGATTTAAGTGTTAGACCCCACAGCAATGGCATGAATGGTAGAGCTGAGAGAGACCCAGGCGATCATCTAGCCCGCCCACTCCATTTTTTATGAAGAGAGACTTAGGTTCCATACAGGAATGGGATTTAAAGTCGCAATGTGTTAGGAGCAGAGGTTAGGGGCAGAGGACCCTCCTGGGTCCCAGCCTAGAACTCTTCATACAGCCTCTTTGTAAATATAGCTGAATTGTTCCCCCTGCTTTCTTGTGGTGAGTTATTTTGTTGGGCACCATTAGGGGTCATTCTGACTTAACAGACAAAAAACTACTAATGTTGTTTCAGAGAAAAAACCAAGGATACAACAGGGTTCTTTCCTAGCAAAGAAATAGATATAAGTCCTATGTCATCAGAAGATTCTTGGAAACTGTGATTTTAAGCAAAATGACATATAAGGAACCCAATTTTCTCATCGGCTAATTGACATAAAGAGTTAAGTTCTATAGCACATGTGTCAAACACAAGGCCCACGGGCCAAATCCGTCCCGCCAGGCCTTGCAATGTGGCCCGCACCGCACTGTCATCACTGCACTCCGCTGCGTTTCCATCACAATGACAGTTTATGACTGTTCAGTAAACCATTCGGCCCGCGATTTAGGCTGGATTTTAGATTTTGGCCCCTTCTCTGATTGAGTTCGACACCCCTATTCTATAGCATGTTCTGGTCACAAAAGCATCACCACATCTAATTGATTTGGCTCAGTGGATAGAGCGTCGGTCTGCAGACTGAAAGGTCCCGGGTTAGATTCTGGTCAAGGGCATGTGCCTTGGTTGCAGGGACATCCCCATCCCCAGTAGGACGTGTGCAAGAGGCAGCTGATTGATGTTTCTCTCTCATCGATGTTTCTAACTCTCCCTCTTTCTTCCTCTCTGTAAAAAATTTAAAAAATATATTTTTAAAAGAAAGCATCACCAAATGTTTTAAATAAAGACCCAAACACTTCTAATATTAAAACTGAAGTAAATATGATGAATAAAAATAAGTAAGAGAATGATTTTTCAACCCACTTACTTCAGTTTAGGGACCCGGATGGCCAGAACCTGTCCAGGCAGCTCAAGGACAAAGTAGGAATCAACCCTGGATAGGACTCCCCTCCATCTCAGGGCCACACACACACACACACACATATGCTGGACAATGTAGACATGCCAATTCACCTCATGTGCACATCTTTAGGATGCAGACATGGGGAGAACATGCAAACTCCATGCAGACAGTAGCTCCTGCTGGGAATCAATTTTAAAACAACTTTGAACAAAGCAGCACTATTCGAAGATATGCTGTATTTCCATTCATATGTGCTTTATAGTAACAATGTTTCTCTCTTTTTAAAAAGATCCCATAAGAGACCATTGTTCCACTTGACATTTTGCATAGCTCTTGGTTCCCTGTTGATACTCACAGGTTATACCAACTTAAAATGTCGCGGCCAAAAACTGCCCAAGTAGAATTATTAGAGCATGAGCGAACACTTTCTGAAGCAGAACTGCAGACTTACAGATACTCATCTTTGTGGACCATGTTCTGGCTCCCAGTTTGCTAGAGGGTTTGCTGGTTGAAGAGCATATTGAATTGAGGACAGACTGATTGAGCTTTTACTGCTGGTGCCCAAAGCACAGGAGAATTTACAGACTAAGCTTTCAGTTAGAAACATGGGTGTGCCATTGGGTTGAATGGACTTAACTTTCTCTGTGGTCCTTCTCTCCCGCCAGGGCACGTGCACATCACAGACTTCAACATCGCTGCCATGCTGCCGAGGGAGACGCAGATCACCACCATGGCCGGCACTAAGCCTTACATGGGTATGGGCTTCAGGGGCAGCTGTCTGGACTCAGGGCAAGGCATTTGCTTCCATTCCTGTAGAAACCATTTATTACACCCCAATCACCTGTAGGAACTTGCAGCTGGAGATGACAAGCCCCCCTCTGACTACCTGGGGAGCTTCTGATTTCATGGGTCTCAGGTGAGCCTTGGGATAATCCATTTAGGATGCACCCCAGTGGAGGTTGAGTCAGGAGGGCCACTGATGACCTTTGGAGAACACTATTTTATAGCATTATTTAGGATGGCGTCTGCCCACTCCCTGACAAACAGTATTAACTCATTAATTTCTACTAACTGCCTCTGGGTGCTTGGTGCTGTATCAGGTGCTGGGGACTCTGGAGTGAGCAGCACAGACCAAGTCTCCAGCCCATGGAGCTTACTTTCTGGTGAGAGGGGGTTAAGCATAGGAGCAATCAGAGAAGTAGGCACAGACATAAGTAGGATGCTCATAAGTGACAAGTGTTATGATAACCACTGTTTACATAATATAGCATTACATGCAGAAAGCTGTAAAGTGTAGAGTGCCTTCCAGTTATAACTGTAGTTTTCACTTTATCACTTTATCACAATGCCATGAGTCCTTTTTTTTAAAGATGAGAAACTGGGTTTTTCCTTAATATTTAAAATTTACCCAGAGTGAATGGGATGAGAAAAAAATTAAAATGACATGCTTTTACCTTAATTAATTGTGATGATTACAGTGGATGATGTCACTGGTTAAACTGATGGCATTAAATTAAGTCCGGGGGTGGCATGAATTGTACTGGCTAGATGCCATCAGAGGAATCCACAGGCCAGATATCTGCACTTGCAATCAAGGGCAAGGACAATGCCACTTTCTTTTGATAGTTCATTCTTTTCCTCACGCAGCTGAAGAGAGAAAGGGAAAGAGAATCCCGCCCCATGCAGGACTGCATCACTTTCTAAGAGAAAGAAATCTGTGGCAGAAAATGAGCTTCATTTTCTCCGATTTGCTTGAATTGCAAATGTGCTGGCTTCCAATGATCAGTGGAGGGAATAAATCAATTTTGTCTTTTCTGAAGTAATGGACACATATAATTCAGCCTGTTTTCTGCCAAACGCCCACGGTACTCAAATGATACAAAGGACTATCCACGCCTGCTGGTCTGATGGGTTTAATTCTGCAGGTTACCTGGGTTTCCTTCCATATCAAGGGCTATTTTCTTGGAGCCAAGCCAGAAAATGTGCATCTGGGTTTTCTGGGCCTGGTTTCCATGGTGAGAGAAGGAGAGGGAGGCTACCTTTATTTTCTCTCCCCAGTAATTTTCAATTCAAGATCCATATAATTTAATTCTCCTGGAAATTGGCATGTCTAGTCTTTTCACCACATGGAGCTTAGAAATTGGAATCTGGACAAGGTTCTCCGTGCCTCTCCATCTTCACGCTTATAATTAACAATTACTAACATTTACTGAAAGCCTTCTCTGGGCCAGATGATGTGTGAAATGTTTTGCATTCATTTACTTATTCACCCTTTTCCTCAACAATTGTATACGACAGGTTATAATTATCTGCATTTTACAATGAGGAAAACAAAGAAGCTTAAGTGATTTGCCCAAGATCACATGGCTAGTAATTGAAAATGGCCTAGATTAAATCAAGCTCTGTCTGACTTTAGACAATCAACTTTCTTCCTGAAGAGAAAAATTGTTAATGTTATTTGTGGTTCTTAAATGGTTGTAAGCCAATTTAAGTAGGCCAAATTGTTAGAATGGCTTCTTGTTTCTCTGTCCAGAAGTTGCCCTTGGCTTTGATTTTTGGATGGGAGTCTCTCTTAAGAAGTACTATGGGTGGAAATCATCTTTCTTTAAGAAAAAAAAAAGTGTTACCAAAACTTGGCAAAAATCTACTTAATAGACCTTCACCAGCACTCATTTCATAGCACTCCAATAGGATATTAGTTAGCAATTAACCAGGAAAAAAATCTGAAAAGAAAACTTGGATTCAACACTGAATGAAGATTATAGGAATATAGAACAGCTCTTAATATGATGTAGAACAAATAATGAAGCAATTCCTTGGCTCTGGAAATGAGAAGATAAGCAGCTGCAAGTTCTTAACCATTTTTCATTCATAATCTTTTAAGTCCATACTTTCTCCCATCACTCCAATCCTTCCTTCTCCCTACTCCTAAGTCTGGGCAACTATAATCCAGATCACTTAGAGTTTAAATTAAAATATTCTTCCCTTCTAAAAACAAACAAACAAATTCACTATGGAAACTGTGTACCTTGCAGATAAGCAAAGGGGACATTAAATTAATCCCTCTACTTACAGATTGTTAAGGTTTCCTTTTAGATATTTTGTCCATATGCACACACAGACATCCCTTTTTACAGTTGGGTTATACTGAATTTCTGTAACCTAAATTTTCACTGTATAATGTAAACACAATAATAACAGACATCATAAACTGAGCATTTATTATGGCCCATGCAGTTTGCTAAGTTTTTAACATTTTGTGTCATTAAATTCTCAAAGCAACCCTATAGAATAGGTTTATTCTGATTTCACAGATTTACACATACACACACAAACACACACACACACACACACACACACACACACACACAAAACCAACAAAAAAAAAACAAACAAAAAAACACACACAGGTCTAGAGAGAAACTGACCTGGTCAGAATCACACAGTAAGGACTGGTGGAGCACCAGGTTAAACCCAAGTCTAAATACATCTTGAACATTGATAGCAATGGAAGTGTAATGTCTCACAGCTACTGAGCTCTTCCTATGTGCCTGACATTGTTCTAAGTATGTGTATCATGTCATTTAAACTAGATGAGGCAGGCACTACTGCTGTTCCCACTTGAGACTTGCAGACTGAGAAGTTAAGCTCTGCCCAAGAGGAGCTGTAGATAGAGCCCTCAGGGTCTGATGTCAGAATCTACTCTCCAGTTGGTTTAAAATCTGGAAACCAAATGATGGAAATCCAAATAGCTAATAAACACATTAAAATATGGCCAAGCTTATTAATAATCAGAAGACTGTTCATTTTAACCACAATGAAAGACAATTAGACACTCACAAGACTGGCAAAACTCAAAATCTAAGTTAATACCAAGTGTGGATAAGGAGGTTGACTAAAGGAAGTCTGACACCTTGCTGGCCATCGTGTTAATTGGCACAACCACTTTGGTAAATAGTTCTGTGTGATCTAGTGTATGTGAAGACATCCATTCCATGCCCAGCAGCTCTCCTGGTAGGAATGTACTTACAGAAATCTTCCATGTACAGGAGAGTCATGAAAGGGTTGTTCAAATACTCTCAAATTGAAAATAATCCAAATAGCTATCAACTATAGAATAGGCAGGTAAATTATAATATGTGATCAGACTGTGAGCAAACTGACACCATGTGCAGCAATTTTGATAATGTAATCTTGAGCAAGACACCTAAGAAAGCAAGGACATATACTTACGTTATATAGACAGCGGAGGGCAAAAATATATTTACAGTTATAATATAAATAAATAATGTGATAATTAATAATAATACAAGAATAATCTCGTGTTTAGTGTACTCACAACTGTAGACCTACTTTTGCCCACACACACAACATATAGGCAAAACTGAAGTATTGCTTAGAAATGCCTGTAAAGATAATAAATCTTTGTAGAAAGGGAACAAAATTACTAACATAAATTCAAGAAAGTGGCTACTTCTAGGATTGTGAACAGGACAGGAATGAAGGTGGGCTCAAGATTCTATTACATGACCTGTGTAAGGGTCCCCCGGCTATTTTCTTTTAACTACTCATTAAGTTGCTCTTGTGGGTTTTAATTCTTTTTCTGAACGTAGGTTGAAATACTTTAAAAACCAAACAAAACACCCAGTGGCTGTTTGAGGGGAGTTTTGTCCCTCTTCACCTCTATCTGTACCCTCTCAGGAGCAGGGGGTGCTCTGGCAGGGTTGACAAGAGCTCCCATTATCTCTGTCTGGCTTTTCAGCTCTTTGGGAGCTCAAAGCATTGCCCATCCATTGTGCTTTTACATGTTGGCCTTATGTATTTTTCTTCATGTTCTACCAAAATTCTTCAGTGCCGTGAATATTTGTTAAATGAATGAACACATATTCAAATGTCCCCATGCTGGAAAACAGAATAAGTAGAAAAGAAAAAAAAATGCTCATATAAACTCCAAAGATGATCCAAGATGACAGGATTCACAGCTTTTATTAAGTAATGCCATTCTGATGGATATTTTCTTAACACGATGGTCTGTTTACCCCTCAAAGTTCTCTGCAGCTTCTCTAAAGGAGATGTCAGTCACCCTGGGAACTATCTGAGATGACTTGTGAGATACTGAGAAAGGAAAGCAGAACTATAGGCCACTCCATCCAGTCTGTGGGGTGCCATGGGGTCAGGGCCATTGCCTCCCAAATAGCACAGGGACCTGTGACTTACAGAAAGGATGCAGTGATGCGTGAACGGTGAATCCCGTGGGTAAGAGGCCTGCTCAGTCCTGCTATGGCGGGCTCGTGCAGTCAGGCTCAGTCCTGGGATGTCAGCATTCTACCTCTAACTGCATGCTGTCTGTAAGATTTTACTTAGAACTGAGGGCACTGGGAAGGGCAAATCAGACCCACAACCCAACAATATTCTTTGTTCAGAGTCGGCACCTCAATACAGAGAATGGGTCCGGTGTGTATAGCTATTGGTTAGGTAAAATTCCATTATAGATGTTTGCCTCTCTAAAAGAGTGCCTAATTTTTTTAAATCATCATCTGAGGATATGTTTATAGATTTTAGAGAGAGGGAGGAGTGGTGAGAGGGGAGGTTGAGGAGAGGGAATGAGAGGGGAGGGAGGGAGGGAGGGAGGGAAGGAGGGAGGGAGGGAGGGAGGGAGGGAGGGAGAGAGAGAGAGAGAGAGAGAGAGAGAGAGAGAGAGAGAGAGAGAGAGAGAGAGAGAGAGAAAAGAAGAAGAAGAAGAAGGAGGAGGAGGAGGAGGAGGAAGGGGGAAGGAGGAGGAGGAGGAGGAGGAGAAGAGAAGAGAAACATCAATGTGAGGGAGAAATATGGATATGAGAGAGAAACATCAATCTTATTTCCCTTATGAGCCTAACTGGGGATCAAACCCATAATCTAGATGTGTGCCCTGACTGGTAATCAAACCCATAACCTTTTGGTGTATGGGATGATGCTCCAAGCAACTGAGCCAGGGCAAGAAGAGTACCTATTTTGTGAGCACTGTCTAGGTGCCAAACACTGAGCTGAGATTTTGGCATGTACTACCTCATTTAATTTCTCACCTCTAGAAAGATTGCCTTCTTATTTAGACTTTGCTGGTGAGGATTCTCAAGCTCAGCCAACAGACTTGTTCCAGGTCATAATAAGCAATGAAGGCGAGTTTTGAACTGGACACAGCTCCAGGGCTAATAATAGCAACCATTGCCTGATTAATTGATTCAGCAGCATTCATTCACTCAATGTCTCTTGAGTGACTTTAAATGCAAGGCTCAATACTGGGCACTAGGAATGTAGTGGTGAGCAAGCAGATAAGATACCTTCCTTTGCTTTGTGTTTCATTCTCCCTACTCTACTCCTTAGGAGTGAGGGCTATTCTTGGAAAGAGTATGTAGAGTTTAGAAGGTTCACCATGGTCAAAGTGCTTAGAGAATGGGCAGTGGGGACCTTGGAATAAACTGTGCCTCAGTCCATTCAAAGAACGATGCTACAAAGTGTAAGTGACTCATAGTTTATGTAAAACATTCTCTCTCTCAGAGTGCCCCCTCCTTCGTCCCTCCCTCCTTCACCCCCATGAGCAAGGTGCAAATGCTTCCTTTGCCCCTTTAAGATGATGGAGATGGAGAGCCAACATGTTTCAGCCCGTTAGCCCTAACCTGCCAAGTCAAGACAACACACATATCTCAGCCTTCTTGGTTTCAGGGTCAGGCACATTTGAGGCCTGATGGGATCTAATTTTTCATAGTTGCAAGTTCTAAATAAGAGAAGAATGTGCGCACGAAGGCCTGAGGCCACCTGTGATGTTGGTTGATGAATGAGGCTCCTGAGAGAGAGCAGAAAATTAGAAATGTTGCCTACTGTGAGCAATCGAGCCATGGATGATAGACATTTACACAAGCGTGTCTCCCCTCTGCCCTGGCATCTCACCTTTGGAGGACCCCGCTGGGAAAGTAGATTTGTGGGTGTCTCAGGGAGCAGAACAGACCTGACTCTCCTGTGTTTTCAGCTCCCGAGATGTTCAGCTCGAGGAGAGAAGCCGGCTATTCCTTTGCTGTGGACTGGTGGTCTCTGGGAGTGACAGCCTACGAGCTTCTGAGAGGCCGGGTACAGTAGGACTCATTTCTTTGCACTCTTCCAGCTATTTACATTTTTAGACAGGAAAGATGGGTGTTTGTGTGTGTGTGAGTGCTAAAAATCCAGCAGTTTGTTTGAGAGGTGAAAATGGCTCTGCCATGTTAAGCTGTTAGCAACCCTTGGGATTTCTGTATTCATTCATTATCCCAGCTATGGGGATCAATCATGAGAGTTCACATCAAATCATGGGTGGTGAGCACACGATGTAATATTACAGCTCTTATAACATAGAAACTCACACCTGAAAACTAGATGATCATGTTAACCAATGTCACCCCAATCAGTTTAATAAATGAAAACATGAAAATAAAGAAATCAATAAATAATGTCGAGATTATAAGCTCCCATGGAGGGGAGATCCATATGCCTCATTAAATACTTTGTATAAATATATTTGTTTAAAGAAAAGCATTTTTGCAGGCACGGTACAAAAATCTAATTCAGACACACTTCCCCAAGGGGAGTGTTAATTACTAATTCAACATGATCCATGCTCTGTCGTGTTGGATTCCTGTCTGTCATTAAGTTCCTGGATTCTGGGTTCAGTGGCAAATTACAGTAGTTTCCTTCTAAAATAAATATTTCTTAAACTAAGAAAATGCCTAGGAAGAATTTTTCTAGGAAAATATTAACTAAAAAAAAAGGGAATATGCTAATTGACCCTCACGCTATTACAAAAAGTGGCAGCCAATAAGGAGGGAATATGCTAATTGGCTGTCCCTTCCTCAAAGATGGCAGCACCCACAGCCACAAGATGGCAGTACTCAGTCCCCTCAGCCCCATCGGGGCAGCAGGGACACAGCAAGGCCAGGCCAACCCCCAGGCAGGCCCATCTGCTCCATGCTCCTATCTCCAGAGTCCCCCAGTCCCCTGAGCCCCCCAGCTGCCCAGGGCTGGCCCGAGGTGCAGGCAAGCCTCAGATGGCAGCTGCCCAGCTTCCCAGGGCTGCCTGAAGCTCAGATAACCAGGGGTGGCTTGTGCTGCCAGCAGTAGAGATGTGATGGGGGCATCACTTTCCCCTGATCAGTGGGTTGCCTCCCACCCTTAAGGACTCCTAGACTGTGAGAGGGGGTAGGCTGCACTTAGGGACCACCTCCCTACAGTGCATGAATTTTCATGCACTGGACCTCTAGTATTATATAGTCATAAAACATTACTTTCTCCCATCTACATGTTTACCTTTTCCACTTTCATCCATTTTTTATATTCTCATTCTTGTTAATATGCTACCTTAGAATTGTTTGATGTATCCTATCAGGTACACTGTAATTTTTCTTTAGAGCATGAATTACATTTACTGAAGCATGTGTGTGCAGTTTATATAACTATTTGTGGTTTCCCTAGGGAGATGTTAAGCTCCACCAAAATAGAAATTATATCTGTCTTATTATTCTTCATCCACAATGCCCAACAGAGGTGCTGCAATATACTAGGCATTCAATAAATATTTGGTAAATGAGGAAATATATAATTCTAGTAGTTAATGAACTAACATTGGTTTTTAAATTTAGAACTAGAAAAATGTCATAGAAGAGAAGGACAATTTGATTATTTTTTAACAAGTTGATAGGCCATGAGGATTTTTTAAATATGTTTTTATTGATTTCAGAGAGAAAGGGAGAGGGAGGAAGAGATAGAAACATCAGTGATGGGAGAGAATCACTGATCAGCTTCCTCCTGCATGCCCCCTACTAAGGATTGAGCCCACAATCTGGCCATGTGCCCTTGACTGGAATCAACTCCAGGACCCTTCAGTCTGCAGCCCAATGCCCTATCCATTGAGCCAAACCAGTTAGGGCAGGATTTTTTTTTTTAATATTAAAAATCAGTTGTACAGCCTTCTAGTAAATAAAAGCACTGTTAAGCCAGTTGCTTGTGGCATTCATCAGTTAATTATCCACTGATCAAATCATTTGTGATTTCAGATGGCTAAGAAACAAGTAGGTTGAGAAGCAGCAATTAGTCGAAGAAGAAATTTAGAAAAATATTGACATTGCACACATATGTAACTCTGGACCCTACTATGCCAAACATGCCCCGACTCTTAACAGTATACATGGAATGAATCCCAGTAGTGACCCACAGTGCCCTTCACCTAGTCAGCAGTCAGTAAACACTGATAATAGTGATAAGGTACCTAGTATTCATTTTCTGCTATTGGGTTGCATGGATTATTTCCATTATATGGTTATTGACACCAGAATTAGTATTGGTCCTTTATTCCATCTTAAGGAAAGAAAACATTTGACAGGTGTGTTTAGACCTTGCATACAAAAATAACGTATGGCCAGTCATCTTTTTGGAAGGTCACCTCCTAGCATTTCATGGTTCCCTGAGAATGGACATTGACATGTGAAATATGTTAAGCTTTTCTTCACCTTTAGTCACTGTTGACATTTATGTCCACCTTTTTACCGTGTCAGTAATAATAAAACATTTCTCCTATATCATGTATAATATACACTATCCACTCTATTGAGAACTTTACATATATTATGCCATTCAATTTTCCCAACAATCTCATGAGGTGGTTCCTTTTACAGATGAAAGAATTGAAATCCAAATTGAGTGGCTCCATTTAGCCCTCACATTATTTTGCCTCCAGAGCTCACTTAATTATATTACCTTTTAATACCGAGTTACAACAGGGAAAAAATAAACTCTTCCACTTCTTCCAATTTGGCTCATCCATCCATAATCATTTGTTAAGTATCTCGAAAGGGCAGACCCTTGAGACATGTACATATCCATATTAGCTGTCCTACTGTTGGACAGACCAACATGGAAATTTTGTTCATTCAACAGGCACCCACTAGGTGCTAGGACCCATGGGGAAAATGTGAGTATGGTATAATCTCTCATTTTATGTGAACTGGAGTTTAGTAGCTCCCAGTTCACATAAAAGAGAAAATGCCAGCGTGGATTTCTTTATGAAATAGAATTACTATAGATAAAGGCTGCCCTCTTATGGACATTTATGAAAACTGTAATAAAACACTCACCCCCACCCCCACCCATACACACACAGAGAAGTTAAAATTATAGAACACATGTGTCAAACACAAGGCCCGCGGGCCAAATCCGTCCCGCCAGGCCTTGCAATGTGGCCCGCACCGCGCTGTCATCACTGCACTCCGCTGCGTTTCCATCACAATGACAGTTTATGACTGTTCAGTAAACCATTCGGACTGCGATTTAGGCTGGATTTTAGATTTTGGCCCCTTCTCTGATTGAGTTCGACACCCCTATTATAGAAGAACCTGGTTTTCTCAGAAGTAAAAGTACTTTTGCCTCATCATAAAATTTGCCACTCCACTTCATAGGACCAGAGACTCCTGACTTTTGGGAGAGGGTTGAAGTCTTTTGGGTAACCTCTGAATGTATTCATTAGGATTCAAACAATTTAAAAGAGGTATGTGGTAAACTCTGAATCTCTTTACAATCAAACTAAACAACAGAAGTTTAAAATGTCAACTTACTGAGCACATGTACAGTGTTTTATAAAAATGCACCTATAAGTTATCTTACAAAACTATTCCAAATTAGTATCTCAGAGGTAGATTTAGCCCACAGAAAGGTTTTGTTTGACCAAGAATGATTGACCAAATTTTAAAAATTTAGATTTCAAAAGAAACTGTAGATATTTCTGGTGTTTTGTTTTGTTTTGTTTTGAAAGTAGATCTGGCAACACAGGATGGACCATATATGTATATGCCAACAAGGCAACAGCTATAGAGGATAAGAAAATGATACTAAGATTTTCCTGGTTGAAAATTTAACTTGAAACATTTGCAAAGGAATGTGTGTGTGATTTTTTCTTTTACCCTGTAAGCATGAAGACTTTTCCCTCCTCTCTCCCTTCAGAGACCGTATCATATTCGCTCCAGTACTTCCAGCAAGGAAATTGCACACATGTTTGAGACGGCTATTGTGCCTTACCCTTCTGCCTGGTCACAGGAAATGGTGTCACTTCTTAGAAAGGTAAGGAGGAGGATTGCATGACAAAAAGAAACACTAAAAAGCAGCATGCTCTCTGGTTAGAGTCAGTGCACGATATTGGAGGTGGGCCGTGATAGGGTACATTTCCGGAGTGGGCTTTGCAGCTAACAGCTTTCAAACGCATGGCTTCATTAAGGCAATGCACATGTCCTCCTGTATGTGCCAAAGCCACCTCGAAGTCAGCGGACCTGAAATGGGTTCTTGGTCTCTCTGTATTTCCTGGACTTTCTCCAAGTTTCCCAACTCAGTGACTGAGTAGCCTCTCCCTCCAATCACTTATGCAAGCCTGAAACCAGAAATTATTCATCGCCCCCACTTCCAATCCATCACCACATATTGTAACTTGACCTTTTAAATACTTTTTGAATCTGTCACTTTCCTCCATCTCCATTACTGTCTCTCCAATCATACTTCCATCAAGCCTTTAACTGGTTTGCCCTGTGCCCTTTTACACACTCCATTCTTCTCTCCATTCTGTCCCATAATGACCTGTTCAAAGCAGACTTTGTTGTCTTCCCATTGTTCATGGAATAAAGATCAAAGTAATGTGTATGACATAAAAGTTCTAATTACTTCTCAAGCCTTATTTTGGACTTTTGTTCCCTTTTGATTGCACATAAACCACTTTAGTCTTTTTCTCTTCGGTTTCCCTTCCTCCACCTCACTCTCACATATCAGCCTCTCACCACAGGCCCTTTGCACATGCTAGTCCCTCTGCCTAGAACACTGCCCCCTCCCCAACTCTTCCAGCTCTCTCCAGGACCAGGACCATTCAGTGTGATTCACTGATTAGTTCAAGTTCGTGAATTGTTTCTTCAGGGTCATGACAAGTACAGAAATTGAAACATTCAGAAATATTTTTAGCATTTGATATTGCTACTGCCTCTAAGCACATGGTCCATGGACTCATCTCATTTGTAGCGGGAGCTCAATAGTGTGTGTCGAATGACAGTGTGTGAAGAATATGGACCCCAAGAGGATGGGTGTGGCTTTTTTCAGGAAAGAAAATTGCACAGGTGATGGCAGGTCAAGGAAAAGGGCTCACAAGTCAAACCTGTGTCTCTTGCCTTTGGGGTCAAGTTCATTTGTTTTGGAATAGGGACATTGCCATTGGTTATGTCAAAGATGAACAGGTGGTCATTTCCCCTAAGCAAATTTTCTTCAGTTTCAAGACAGCCTCTTCACCCCAAATTTCTACCTTGGTGATCCCAGGTTATCCCCTGCAGAACAATTCTCAGGTGGAATTGCCATTTTCCATCAGAACCACAGGGTTGATGTGGTGTGTTTGGCTCTGGAGTGGTTAAGGGGGAAAATCTCTAATCACAGTTTATTAAACCCAGAACTATAACAGTTACCTTAGTTACACCTTCTCTGTGTCACCCCCAATATATTTTGGTCAGTTGTAAAAGCACCTAAAAATTTTAGTGAGAAATAAATTTCATTTGTGAAAATGTGTGCACATTTCTCCCCTAATTACAGTCCTTCTCTTAAGCACTTTACATGCATGGCTTCATTTCATCCTAGCTGAAACCTTATGAAATAGGTTACAATCCCCTTTTCACAGATGAGTGAACTGAGATTTAGAGAATAAAGTAGGGGTATCAACCATCAGAGAGACATTTGACTCCTTAGGACAAGCGATTTTCACTCTTCACCTTGCAAAAAAAAAAAAAAAAAAAAAAAACCACCTACAATTCATTCTAACTGGACATTATCTGTATTATTTGTTTAGGGGGTCAGGGTAGGGAAATTATGCCTTATTTCCTTCAGTCTTACACTTGAAAACATTGAGAGGGAATTTGTGTGTGTTTTTGGCCCCATTTTGACCTTCCTCGTGACCTTAACGTTTCTGTTCCTTTGGCAGCTACTTGAACCTGATCCAGACCAGCGATTTTCTCACTTGTCTGACCTTCAGAACTTCCCATATATGAGTGATGTGAACTGGGATGCGGTTTTACAGAAGAGGATCATTCCCGGTTTCATTCCTAACGTGAGTCAATCCCAACAAACCCATAATAACTCGCACGCAGCGCATATTGTCCTGGGTGCTAGAGATGCACCAGGCCTGGTTAGATAACCACATCAGTGTTGTAAGACAGCCCAAATTCCCATTTTACAGATGAGGACACTGAGGCATGCACAGGTAACTTGGCCACCAAAGAGTCCCTTGGCTACCGAGTAGCTGAGTGGGAATTACAATCCAACTCTATCTGTGTCTGGAGTTCCAGCTTCTAACCACTTTTTGTGGCATGCTTCCCCCCCCCCCCCCCCCCCCAAAGAATATCTAATCCTCCTAATACACAGTCCTCACTTAGTCATAAATAGGCTCTGTGACTTTAAGAGAAGTGGCATAGAATGAAGCCAGTTTTACCATTGGCTGGCTGATAAAAACAAGGGTTAAATTCCTACATATCTCCTCAACCTTATAATGAAACAAAACCTCAAATACCCCCTGTTGCCCTTTCTAGGAATCTGCCAATTGGAAAGATGATGCTTTCTTTGATTCAAAAGGTGTAGGAATTTGTATGTGAGTCAAAGGATTGGCCTGTCTGTAATGACTCAGGACCAAAGGGAAATAATTCCCACCAGATGAGTCCCTGGCCAGGGGACATCTGTGTCCTACTGCAGACCCCTGGTGAGAGCCAGAATCCAGGTCCAAGTGCTCAGTGAGATGGTGGTTTTCTGGAATTCGGGGGGTGGAGAATCAAAAGCTTATGGAGAGACTAGGGGGTAGGGTCAAGGACTTACCTGGCCACTTTGCCGAGTCCAGTAGGGGTAGCTGGTACCAGGTTGATAGGTGACACTGGACCCTGCTGCTGCTTCCACAACCAACAACCCGCACCAAGACAAGCAACCATCAGCTCTGTATCAAGAGGCCCTCCCCCTTTATATAAGCTCTGGCTTTATTGTGAATCAGAATCACGTGGGGAGCTTGTGAAATGTGCCATTTTCTCACGTGCAGTTGGGGAACTGGGAAGCTGGGCAAACAACTCAAGTGATTCTAATTGTCTGCAGGATCCTTAGAGCATAATGTTGAGACCCAGAACACAAAAGGTCAAACTTTAGAAAAACAATAGTCATTGGTTTCCTCTAAATTCAACCCACGGGAGGCTCATTGGGAGTTTAGAAAAATAAACAAAATATAAAATTAATGGATGTGCAAAACAATGCTGACATTATCCAAAATTAGCGTGGGAACCCTAGCTCGGTGCCCTTGGAATGCTCCTTTAGGACCCCATGCCTGTCTCCACATTCGCTCAGGTGTACTTTGGGAATGAAACAGGGACCTAGGGAGTGAGCCAACCTGTGTTCCTTGCAGAAAGGCAGGCTGAATTGCGATCCCACCTTTGAGCTCGAAGAAATGATTTTGGAGTCCAAACCTCTTCATAAGAAGAAGAAGCGTCTGGCAAAGAAGGAGAAGGAGATGCGGAAATCTGATTCCTCTCAGGTGAGCAGGTCTCCGCCCAACCCCGGGGGAACCTTCCAGATGGCTGCAACTCCTTGGAGAGCTTCTGCTGGGAGGTCATCTCAGCACCTGGCTTTTGTGGCCCTGTGAATGTGCTCAGAAGCTGAACAGCGAGGCAGTCCTGGGCATCCTGGCAGCCACGTTTCCCTGTGGACTTTCTAGCTCTGTCGTGAACTTGATTCAGTTAGTACCTTCTCCTAGCTCTCAACTCAAAACGGCCAATTTTCTGGGAGAGACTCTGATCGGCCAAGCTCAGGCCAGGTGACTAGGCTTCAAAGCACAGGCATGCCTCGTTTTATTTGCCCTTTGCTTTGATGTTGTGTTTTTTACAATTGAAGGTGAAGGTTAGACTCTCCACCAGCAAAAAAATATATAAAATATATATATATATATATATATATATAAAAATATGAATTGCTTTATTGCAATACTCACTTCATTGTAGTGCTCTGAAATGGAACCCACAATATCTCTGAGGTACTAATAGGTCTGTGTACACATGGCTGTTTGGGGCCTCACTCCGGCTGGGAGCAGCCAGCCCTAGAGGTGGTGTCTGCTCTTTGCTCTAAGCCACATGTGTCAAACACAAGGCTCGCGGGCCAAATCCATCCCGCCAGGCCTTGCAATGTGGCCTGCACCGCGCTGTCATCACTGCACTCCGCTGCGTTTCCATCACAATGACAGTTTATGACTGTTCAGTAAACCATTCGGCCCACGATTTAGGCTGGATTTTAGATTTTGGCCCCTTCTCTGATTGAGTTCGACACCCCTACTCTAAGCAAAAGTTCATGCTACCAGAATAGAGAGCAGACATGAAGGAATTCTTATATGGTCAAGTACTATTTTGGGATTTTTAGGCTGAGTTGATTTTTTAACCATATTATTCTGTCAGAGTTAGAGCTCATATCTCAATACAACAACTTATAGGGACTCAGTAGGATTTTACACATGTGGCTATATGCGTTATAATGGTGGAGAAGAAATAAACATTCTATGAGCACTTTCCCACAGCACAGACCCCAACCCTTTCTAATATCAAACAAAAGAAAAAAAGCAGTTTCTCCTCCCCCCCTAGTTTCATGTCAACCTTAGAATCACTTACAAGAAGTGGCTCTGCCCACAATGAAAACAGAACATTACATTACTAATCAGAGAAGTTTCCACACTTTTCATCTTCTTTTGTTTTAACGGGTTTATATTGGTAAGATATGTATAACATAAATTTGCCATTTTTAAGTGTGCAATTAGTGGCATTAAGTACATTTATAATGTTGTACAGCCACCATCACTATTTCAGAAATTGTTACTCCTCCAAGCCCCATTGCTTTTTTCTTCAATTTCAGCAATGTTTTTTACTCTTCAGAGTTCAACTCTTTCACCTTCTTGTTTAAACTTTTCCTAGGCCTTTTTTTTTTTTTTTTAATACTCTGGAAATAGAATTGTTTTCTAAATTTCCTTTTTGTATCATTAATTACTAGTGTATAGAAACAACTGATTTTTCTATGTTAATTTTGTACAGAGCAACTTTGCTGGACTCATTTATTAGCTTTAATAGTTTCCTGTGAGTTCTTTGGGACATATATTTCTATCTTTCTATCTATCTATCTATCTATCTATCTATCTATCCGTGTCATCTGCAGATAGAGATACTTTTCCTTTCCAGTTTGGATGCCTTTATTTTTTTTCTTGCCTAATCACAATGTTGAATAGCAGTGGTGAAAGTGAGCATCTTAGTCTTTCCCCACCTCAGGGAGAAAGATTTTAACTCTTACCATTGAGCACTATGTTTGCTGTGAGTTTTTTGTAAATGCCTTTTATCATATTACATTTTATATAACTTTTTGTATTTGTATATGTTTATATAAATGTTTTTATATATATAAAATATTTTATATATGTACTTAATGTGTAAGTACATACATATGTATATAAATATATAAACATATACATATATAAATAGGTAAACAATATTATGTAAATATACTTTTAAATATTATGTAATATTTTGTTTATATATTTATAATATTTTATTGTTAAAATTGTACTTGAAGATACAGCTTTTTCTAATTCCTAGATTTTTTTAAAAAGGAATGAATGGCATTTTTTTCTTAGAGGATAATATTTTTCATCAGAAGCAATTTGGAAGTACTTTGTTGCAGACTTTTAAATATTGGATCTTGGGCTGACACTATCCTGGGCCCCATGAGTATTATTTTTTTGAGGTTCAGTTTTCTCATGATGATGGCCAAACCATTGGTTCCTGTTGAAAGCTAGACAATGAAACAGCAAAGCAAATGGTTTGCATGTCTGTGAGAAGTCACAAATAGGACAGCTCTGTTTGCTGCCCCTGAGGTCTAGATCATGAACCCCAGCACAGTCATTGAGGGGAACATTCTATAGGAATTCAGAGTGAGGCGATGTTTCTAGGCTGTTCATTAAATTCAAGTAGAACCTCCAAACCTTTCACATGAGGGCCAGTAACTAGTTCAATAAACCCTTGTCCTCACCCTCCTTGTAGCCATGGTTTCTTCTTGGGCTGCTTGGCTGAAAGACATCAAGGTCATGAATCATAACCCAAGTCTTTCCTGCTGGCTCATTGTGGGGAGCAGTGTGTTGATGTATTGTATCCTCTTGCTCTTTCTTCCCTATTTGCTGCCCTATTGTTCTGGTTGGGGTCTCACTCCTTCTACAAACTTAGAGATAGCATTTGTTTTAAAGATGCATTCTTTGATTGGGCCATTCAGTGAACAGACACTCAATAGATGTTGGCTGTTTGAGGACCCTCATTGATCTACTAACTATATCTCTACTCTTTTTTTTCAACATTCACCTGGAAGATGTGCCTTCTTCAAGAGCACCTTGATTCTGTGCAAAAGGAATTCATCATTTTCAACAGAGAAAAGTAAGTCAGTAGCTCCTGCAAAAACAGAAGCCCAGCAAATGAGAGTGTTTCAAACCAGACTTTACTTGCAAAGCCTTAATATATTTTTAACATTTTTTATTCTTTCTAATTATAAAAATGATGCCTATCCATAATAGAACACTTGGGAATTTCAGGAACCTTTTTATTTTTTGTAAGAAATTGCAAATATTGTAGTGGGTAAATGAGCTTCAAGTTTCTGTTGATGGGAAAGGCAGAGAAAAAATTGGGACTTAAACATTTCAAATCTATGATGTTTTTAAAGTTTCCCCAATCTCTTTATAAATTGTTGGGCTTAATGCTATCATTTCAAAGGCTTACCTCTCTTTATTTTCAGGGACTAACCGCCTCTTTTTTTTTTTCCCTTTTTTAAGAGTAAAAAGGGACTTTAGTAAAAGACAAGCAAATCTAGCCTTTGAACAGACCAAAGTCCCACAAGAAGAAAATGGTCAGAATAACAACCTGTGAGCCATCAACATCTTCTTCTTGGGACATTTCCTGCTACTCAGGCCAGCAAGTTCTGACTTCCACAGCAGGATGGGCCAACTGCACACCGCACACACCTTAGAAAACGTGAATGCCTACCTTTGAGGGAGGCAGCATGAAACAATGAGGAGCTCCCTGGACTCCTGGGAACTGGTTACACCACTAACAAACCATGTGACCATGAGCAAGACACTTAACCACTTTCTCTGCTTCGGTTTATTCTTAATGAGAGGGCTCTACTGGATGAGCTATCCTCTGCCTTTTTATTGCAACCACTGTTGTCCTAAACAGCCTTTATTTTTATTTCTAAAGGACTATTTGGATGTAAATTTATTTTTCCACTTCTTTAGTTACACTGTGACAGATGGATAAATGGACATAGGTGGGTGATTGAAGTGTTTTGGGGGGTAGGAAAGTTAAGAGGTCACAATCCCCCAGTCTGATTGAATAGGAATAAGGAATCCAACCAGGAAGGAATGAATTGGACTGAATTAAACTGAAACAGACTTACCTGGGCCTTCCAGTGCTATGCCAAAGTGACACACCACATCAGCTTATCCCAGCTAGCAAGAGCCTGCTATGCACATCTGTCCCAACACCCTGAAGTTGGGAAGTTGAAATTGGTGATGATGAGGCATTTAAACCATGGAAATTGGCCAATGCTACAATTGGCTAAATCACGGCATCTCCCCACAACACACACACACACACACACACACACACACACACACACACACACAGCAAGCCATTGTTAGATATTTATGAGCACACCACTTGCCTTCTTCCATTAATAACAATCTTTGAGAGGTCATGATCCTCTTAAGATAATCATAGACCTACTTCTGGAGGGGATCAGGGAAGACTTGTCACATGAATAGCATGTCCACCTTGCAGTACAGTGCGGTGTCTTACTTGGGAGTTAGTCTCAGTGAGAATGTGCTGTGAATTTGAACAGTAAAATTTACCATTGAAAGTTCCCTGAGATTACCCATAATGTACAGTGGGTATCTTGTCTTTTTTTTTTTTTTTTAATAAATTTTTATTGTTCATATTATTACAAATGTTCCTTCCGCCCCCCCTCCATTGCTCTCCTCCACCAGGTTCCCATCCCACCCTCTGCCCTTTCCCCACCCCCCATTGTCCTCATCCATAGGTGCACAGTTTATGTTCAGTCTCTTCCCACATCCCTCTCTCCCCTTTTCCCCAAGAATCGTCAGTTTACTCCCCTTCCATACCTCTGATTCTATTATATTCACCTGTTAATATTGTTCATCAGATTTTTTTTTTAATTTCCTTGGTTTTTAGATTCACTTGTTGATAGTTACATATTTGTTGTTCATCATTTTTATCTTTATTTACTTTCTCTTCTGAAAGAACCCCCTTCAGCAATTCATATAATTCTGGTTTGGTGGTGATGAACTCCTTTAGCTTTTTTTTATTAGTGAAGCTCTTTATCTGGCCTTTGATTCTGAGTGATAGCTTTGCTGGGTAGATTATCTTTGACTGTAGGTTCTTATTATTCATCACCTTGAATATTTCTTGCCATTCCTGTCTGGCCTGGTTGGTTTCTGTTGAGAAATCAGCTGACAATCATATAGGTGCTCATTTATAGGTAACTACCTGCTTTGCTCTTGCTGCTTTTAATATTCTCTCTTTGTCTTTTGCTCTTGGAATTTTAATTATGATGTGTCTTGGTGTGGTCCTCTTTGGATTCCTTTTGTTTGGAGTTCTGTGCACTTCCTGGACTTGTAAGTCTAATTCTTTCACCAGGTGGGGGAAGTTTTCTGTCACTATTTCTTTCAGTATGTTTTCGATATCTTGCTCTCTCTCATCTTCTGGGACCCCCATAATTCTGATGGTTTGCTTGAAGTTGTCCCAGAGGTTTCTTACATTATCTTCAATTTTCTGGATTCTCTTGCCTTCTTGCTTCTGCGGAGGAGTGTCTTCTGGCTCTTTATGTTCCAAATCTTTGACTTGATTCTTGCGATCTTCCATTCTGTTTTTAGGACTCTGTATAATATTTTTTATTTCAGACAATGTATTCTTTATTTCTTGTTGATCCCTTATCATTTCTCATTGATTCCTTATTAATTCTAGTTGATCCCTTTTCATATCCTCATAGGTCTTATCCACCTTTTCTAGGAAATTCTTGAAAAACCTTATAAGTGTAGATTTGAACTCTATATCCAGTCGCTTTTTGTCCTCCATTTCTTTCGTTCGTGATCTATTTTGTTGTCGCATTTTCGAAGCTTCCCTGATGGGGCCAGGTTTCAGGGTGGCGCCTACAGCCCTGGCTTCAGTCAGCCCCACCCTATGAGGCTCCTGAGTCTCAGTAATCCCCAGGGTCCTTCAGTACTCCTTGCAAGCACCTCTGAGAGAAAGATGCCCTTGATTTCGCCTGCTACCAAACAGTCTATGCTTTCCCCCAATGAGCCCGGAACTGGGGTTCAGTTCAGTTGGAAGTGGGATTGGAGGTGGCGTTCAGAGCAGTCTGGAGCCCCAGTCTCCTTCCTGCCTGGGCAATCCCGCAGCACAGCCAACTGTCCCTTCTTTGCGTGCAATGTGTGCGCCTCTGGGACCTCCTTTCGCCGCTCCCCTGGGGTTCTGCCTTACAGCCCAGCTCCCTATGGATGAGCCTGGGTCCCCAGGGTCTGGCCTAGAACTAGGGTTCAGAGCAGTCGGAACTGGAGATAACAGTTGAAACTTTTATCTCCTTCCTGCTAGGGAACACCAGCCAGGCAATCGGCCGCCCCTTCTCTTCGGCTCATCCTCTCCGCGTGTGCCGTGTGTCTCCGTACCTTAGGCTTTTACAGCTCCTCCGCTCTTCCTTCTCGTTTTCTCCTTGCTTCTCGTTGTAGAATTTCCAGTCAGTCGACTTTCCTGTAGTTCTGGGTAATGTCCATTTTATATTTTAGTGTGTTTTATTGAAATTGTTGTGTGCGGCTGTGGCTAGGTGTTTACCTGTGCAACCATCTTGGATTCTCTCGGTATCTTGTCTTTGTGAAGCCAAGACAGTGAGCTGCCCGTCAACAATGAAACAAGTCCCGTTTTTGGTTCATTTTGATTTTGCTGTTTACCTTTATTTTTGGCTGATATCAGATGAATCAAAACATTAAACAAATGACACATGCATTTATAGAGTAGAATTACACTAAGAATCATGGATGCATACATGTCTGTGAGGTTAGGGGTCATGGAACTAAGGGAATGCTTTGGGCTCACTCAAGAATGGCAAGTAGGATCACCTAATTACTTAAAGTATGATTGATGTCTCACTGTTTTCCTTTATATTTTATGAATTTCTAAATCACCAAGTTAATTCACCTACATGAGCTGTGCATGTAATGTATCACCACTCCCCTGAATATCTTTGCAGAGGAACTATTTATGGCCACCTATAGATGCCACTGCCTAGGGAGTAAAGAAGTGAAGAGTCTTGATGGGGGACTGTTTTAACCTCTCAGCCACCCTTGTCCTTCTTTATGGAGAGTGTGGGCATCACCAAGGTGGTGTGAAGCTGCGGGAAGATCATTTGAGAAACCAGACATGTGGACATAGGCAGAAGTCCCAGCTGCGGCCACATGCTACACCAGACTTTTCCAGGAGGGGTTTAGGGCATCTCGGCATGGGTAGAAGCCAGTGCTGCATTTTAACTCAGTGGTTACAGTAGACTCCTCATAAGCTGATAGGCCCACCATTTCTGGCAGAGCTGTGAAATAGTACCTACCTACTTTCACAGCAACCATCCTTTTGTTAAGCATTAAAACCAGGTCCTTTGTTCTGTGTGTTGGATTCATTTTCCCTAAATTCTCTACACTCTGTCTATGCTATTTTGTTTTCCTCTGAACACTATGAATTCTAAGTGCTTGCCCTGACTCAGTTTCACAAGGAGAGGGATGGGTTGACAAGATGACTAGATTCTGCTTCAGGGGGCCAGGGGCCACCTGCACATTTACCAACTCCCATCTTTTCATTTGTCTGGATTCAAGCCCTGATGTGCTTGGCCTTACTGAGATTCCCTAGTCACTGCTTCCTCCTCTTGCTATGACCCTGTATGCATCAACCCAGAGGGAAGGCGTTGGGAAACACTTAGTAAGGGGCAAAGGGATTGGTAGGGTCTCCACTGGGATGAGAGCTCATCATTGGTACCATTTCACATCTGCACAATGGAAAATGGGATGGGAACCCAATCCACTCTCTATGCCTGTGGCTGAAGCACCTTGATGGGAGTTCAGGAACCAAGGGCCCGCTGAGCAGAGAACACTGCCTCAGAGAGGTGGCATGGATTTCCAATCTTACCAGGTTACAGCCCTGCAATGTGTTCCCAGCTAGAAAAGTAAGAGCTTTGCATCATCAGTGTAGATAAAGACTAATTATAAATACCTTCCATTGTTATATATTAGGACAAGCCAGTTTTCCAAAAATTAAAGGATGCCTAAGTCCTTACCATGATTGTTAGTATTAAAATCAGACCTGCTTTTTGACATTAAAAACTAAAAGTTTTTATCCTACGTTGTGGAACTAGTCTCATTTGGATGTGTGACAACCAGGGCTCATGGCTAAGAATTTTAGAAAACACTGACTGTTGCATTTTTCTGTCTCATATTCCTGGAATCATTTCCTCCTAACAGCTTCCTCCCTTATCTGAGTGGAGCATAGAGTCTGAGCAGGTTTTGAAGAACAGAACCTCCTGCTTATAACACTAGTTGCTGCAGCTGGCCACTATTCCTGTGCATCACAGTGACCTCTAGTGGATAAAGGAGGCATTGGAGCTTTGTGACCCAGCCTGCAGCCCTAACTGGCAGTGAATACTATTAATGGCTAACACACCTGGACAGGCAGCACTAGTTTGGGCTGAGATCAATGCCAGGAAAGGAAGAGATGTCGAACAGCAGAGCATGATTAAATTAATTTGGATAATTAATTAGTGGTTAGACTTCTTCTGATAGGAAAATTTTAACCAGAAGTGACTAGACATTAGATCATCATAGGTTGTCTAGTTTGAATGGATCGATAAATAACTATCCAGAAAGAATGAAACTACAGCTGGCAAGGCAAGTGTTGCTGATTTGGGCTGACGCAGTAACGCTAAAGCTTCAATTCTTCCAAAGCTGAATGAAAAGGCGTGAGAAGCACAGCGGGTTTGTTTCAGCACCCAGTAATCCTTGCATGGTGTCTACACAAAATCCTGTTTCCCACTCCATCTGCCCGTGATTACTGCTTCTGACAAGCTCTGCGTGTCTGCATCTGATAGTAAATATTGCTGTGAAATCTCCGAACTTCAGTTGTCTGTGTTGTTGTAAACAGGCAGTCCTTGGATGGGTAACACCTGGTTCTGTTCAGCTGTAGCATCTATAATGTAAATGTGCCTGCGTGATTAAAATGTCTTCAGCCACTGACCCTTCTTTGTCAGGTGTGTGTGTGTGTGTGTGTGTGTGTGTGTGTGTGTGTGTGTGTGAGATGATGGTTTTCTCTAGACCAGTGTCTAGAGAAACTCATTAGTCAACAGAGCCAAATATCAACAGTACAAAAATTGAAATTTCTTTTGAGAGCCAAATTTTTTAAACTTAAACTTCTTCTAACTCCACTTCTTCAAAATAGACTTGCCCAAGCCGTGGTATTTTGTGGAAGAGCCACACTCAAGGGGCCAAACAGCCGAAGGTGGTTCTCGAGCCGCAGTTTGCCAACCACTGCTCTAGAGGAAGGGTTGTGGTGCCCAACATCAACTGTTCTTACTTCCATTTCCTGCTATGAGGAAAGTCCTTTCCCAAGCAAACTGGTGATGGAGATGATATTTTATAAACTATCAGATGCAACACAATTTAATCCCCCATGTGTAAAACCTAAAAACCTGGCCCCTTTAGCATTCACACCTTCGGAAACACAAGCCAGAATTCCAGATATTGCCTTTCACTAGGACCATAAACCTATATAATAAAAGCCTAATATGCCAAGTGTCTGGTCAATCGTTAACCTAAGTGTAATATGCTAATGATATGCCAATGCCTCTGAACCACTTAGTATGATGTGCACTGACCACCAGGGGGCAGATGCTCCAACTGGTAGGTTAGCTTGCTGCTGGGGTCCAGATGATCAGGACTGAGCCATACGGGTCAGACAGGCCCTGGAGCCCTCCCACAGTCCCTCCCAGCCCTGGTCATGCACCGGTGGTGTCCCTTGGCCTGGCCTGTGCCCTCTCACAATCCAGGACCCCTTGGAGGATGTTGGAAAGCCAATTTCAGCCTGATCTCACAGGCCAGGCTGAGGGACACCACTGGTGCATGAATTTGTGTACCAGGCCTCTTGTCCATGAATAATAGCCTGTGCACCTTTTTGCCAGCACACTGCTTTTTTTCCCTTCAACATCATTTTCCTGCTCCATTCCATCTGCCAAAGCAGCAGGTGGGTATTTTAAGACCCATACCCTAGGATGGAAAGGGATTAGCAGCTCTGAACTCCTGCAGCTAGCAGCTACTTCTGCCTTAAGAAAAAATAGAGGGACAGTCACTGCCTCCCAGACCCAGATCTTGGCAGCCAGGCCAGCTGATTCCCTGGGATTGTCTTGTAAGAGAGGCTCCTATAAACCATGTGGGCTCTGAAATCCAGCATGCTAGGTGCCCTGCTGCCCAGGTCACATTCAATGGTCTATCATGTTCTCAGTTGCCATTGGAGTGCGGGGCAGGATCTAGGCCTGTTTCATTCGGAAGGGTGCCAGCCTTGAGTGACATCATTTTTCAGGTTGCTTTGGCCCTTTCATCCCCCACTTCCTGTTCATGATTAGTATTCCCTTTGTGTTGGCTTGAGGGTCCCAGAGCTGATTCCAGAAAGTTCTTTGAAATCAGAGGGATACTGTTAGTCCTATTCAGTGTTCTCATTCCCCACCTGGTCAATGTGACTCCGCCTAGGATACCTCCAGCCCACAGGCCTGTGCAAGTTAGTCAATGTGAGAATTACAAGGACATTAAAAAAACTAAAAACAAAACAAAACTGCTCCATCTCTTTGGATCCTTGTAACTTGAGTTCACTGTGAGCACTGACTGTGCCCTTAAACCCACGCTAGTCAGTTGCTGCCTGGTCAGGAGCAGGAAGCAATGTATCCCCAATCCTGAGTTTGAACCAGAAAATGGGACTATGGCCTAAAGCTTATTATTATTTCTTTTAATTCTCAAAGGTTTGTTTTAAATATTTTAGAGAAAAGGAGGAAGGGGTAAGGAGGGAGAGAGAGAGGGGGAGATAAGAGGAGAGAGATGAGAGAAATGTTGATCAGTTGCACCCCATACATGCTCCCACTGGGGATCAAACCCACAACCTAGGTATGTGCCCTGACTGGAATTGAACCGGTTACCTTTCTGTGCATGGAATAATGCTCCAACTGGCAAAGGCTGAGTCAAAGCTTATTAATCACCAGACCTTGAACCTCAAGCTGAAATAACTCTTTATGTGTAAAGAGTAACTTTTAGTATGGTTTCTGAGCTTCTGTGTTCCTGTACTGGCAGCATCAGTCTACCAAACCAAGAGGGGCTCCTCACACATAAAGGCAATTCATCAGAAATTAGCACCCAGATCTCCTCCCCTTCCTCCCCCACACTCCCACTGCTCCTCCAGTCCCATCCTAGTCACAATACTTTGCTGAGCACAGCATCCATGCCCTGCAGGCTTTAGACTAGTGATGGACCATCTGCTCTTTTGCCTGCCCAGTAGCCTTCCTCTCATCTCCTGATATTACAAATTAATATTCCTGGAGTAAGAGTCCACATGGTTCAGGTGGCTTAGGATTGGCCATGTGACCAGGTGTGACCCATCAGTGCCTGTCTCCTGGCCACAGTGACTAGTTTTCTGGTGAAAAAACAATTACAGTCAGTCTCTTTGGCTGGAGCTATCCAGGGAATCTCTGTCCTTCCCCTGAAATTACTAGCCAGATAAAATGAAAACCTAGAAATGCTGATGGCCAGGTTTGCTCCCATTTGCTTTCCTAAGAAGGCAAGCAGGACAAAGAGTCAAAAACAAAACAAACAAACAAAATACTTGTGCTCGTCTGGGCAGCACATAGACTAAAATTGGAACCACACAGAGATTAGTATGGCCCTCCTGTAAGAATGACATGCAAATCAGTGAAGCAGTCCATATGTTTTTAAAAGAAAAGAAACATTTTAGATCCAGCTTTGCTTAAGTCGACCCAAATCTACCCCTGATGTTTTCAGTTATAAACTTTTCAAAAAAAAAAAAAAAAAAAATTCTTGCATATACTAGCCTAACATTTGCAATGAAAAATGTTCTATGTAAATTGTAATTAGGTCCAGAAGTGTTTCCCCAAAAGGAATGTTAGATGTTAAGTAGATAAAAAATAGTTTGAGAGCCTTGAATTGGACAGATTTTGAAAGACAGGATTTCTAAGAACTTTGAATTTGATGACATACACATAAGTCTCTCAAAGGAGTGGACGTAGTTAATATTTTCTAACACTCATGAGATTCCTTGGGACCAGCTTGCTAAAGAATATACTTTCAACATGCTTAGTTTGCATTTTCTCTAATTGCAGGCCTTTACAAAGCAATGTTTTAAGGGAATGACACAACAAAGAACAAATAAAAAAAGGCATTTACACTAATACCAAATTTGATTTTATATATATAAAACTTAGTAATTTTATATATATAAAACTTAGTAATTCCCCCAAGTTTTAACAATAGTCATCAAACTTTTTAGCCAAATAAAAGCTCAACCTCAACTGAAAGACAGGTCCTCCCAAAGTTTTCTCTAAATAACTGTTTTCATCAGATCTGCCCCCTTACCATTTCAGTTTTATGGATTTTCTTAATTTGGGTCAATGTCATGTCACACACAGAAAAGACAGAACAACATCTGTGATTTTATAGTTATTTTAATAACCAGGTTTACATGAACAGTCACTTGATGAACTTTTTTTTTTTTTTCCCCTTAATCTCAGCTAAACTCAAAACACAGTTTTCTTCACGGTTCAAACCAAACAGCTCTTCACATTCCAGAGCCGCCTCATAGCTACCACAGATCACAGGGAGGTCACTGTCCGTCCACAGTCACCAGACACAGAACTGAACACCCGCACACCACTTTCCAAAGAGGGGACCGACCACGGATGCCGGCTGCCAGGACAGCTGGGGCTCCAGCTAGACTTTTCCAGGAGAGAAGGCCTGGGGTGCTTGTGTAACTCATCACCGTGTCGGGAAGGGTTACTCAGGGTGAGTGAAAGGCCAGGCTTAGGATGGAGGCCTTCAGAGCAGACGGTGACTCTCTGGGTGTCGTTACAAAGACAAAGGCCCAAGGATGACAGGACTTTGAAGAAAACCCATTTTCGAGATGGCTACAACCCCGCCAATTTCAGAAAATGTAGGAACAGAAGTTATCTCTGCTGGGGTGACTGAATTAACAGTTCCTCAAATACCTTTCAAGTACCCAAGATCGTAGCTCTCCCATACAGAACCCCAGTTGATTGCCATCTGGGTTTAGGGACAACTTGGGGAGGTCGGGGGTAGGGGAGCAGGCGGGGTATCCTTACGGGGGGGGCAGGCCAAGACAGGACACCGCAAAAGAAAGCCTGGGAGGAAGACAGAAGACCCAGCAAGCCCTCCCAGTGAATTCTGAGAGGGCCTGACTCACTGTGGTGATCTCTTCCTAAACCTGCGTGTACGGGGCTCTTTGATGTATCTTATGGAACAGGGCAGATTGGAATATAAAATTTAACTTAAGTAACAAGGAACCAGAAATCAAAGCCAACAGTGGAGTGTTCCTGGAATTCCCAGGAATTTCTATGCTTCGGAAGTTACTAATAGGCATGAAGAAAGGCAGGCTTTTCTAAGATTGTGTTGCCCAGCATGGAGGCATGAAGGGGCTGCTCCCCCAGCAGGGGAAGCTCATGGAGAACGAAAGGACTGGTTGAATGTTTCATTCAGAAGTCCCAAGTGCAGCCAACGGGGCCATGGAGTATTGATTTGCATGGCCAAGAGAGGTCAGGAAGGATGACTGGACTCGGGCTGGTAACAGCAGCTGATGGTACAGAAGTGCATGATCCTACTAGTTATGTATGTGTCTTTTCCTCCATCTGGTGACTGTGGCTGGTACTGCAACATATTCTAAGTCCCAGCCCAGCCAATGAGGTATATAGAACGTGCTTCTGATATAACAAGCTAGCCGCCAGTCTGCACAACTGCCCCTCCCAGTTTGAAACTTTGAGTTATAAACCACGAGCTATACCTTCCCCTTCACTTACACTTCCTTAAAATAAAGGCACCATGAAAAAGCCTTAAAGATGGCAAGGTTCCTTCTTTTAAGAGGAAATCCTCTTTTTTTTTTTTTTTTTTTTTTTTATAACTGTAAGAGAAATGAGCTTAGTTAGGGGGAATCTTCCTTGGCTATTTATTTCCACCCGCCTCTCCAGCCATGCATTCTCTTCTACTTAAAACCGGAGTTAGGTTTCTCCCCAACACCTGGGAGGTGTTTGAGGCCTCTCTTCAAGGGTCCGTGCACACAGGGTTATGAGTTCTACCAGCTGGATCCCAGCACAGAGGTCAGATCGCAGGTGAAATACATTTTCCCCCCTGCCCAGGGGCCCCTTAGTCCTACAATCTCGTCTGGTTCAGAGAACTTGTTCTGAAGTTGAGTTGGGATGGGGGAGGACATTCAGCTCTGGCAGACAAGGAAGGTGCCAGGGCTCCCTGCCAGCTTCCTTTACTCATGGGCCACATGCCACTGCCACCCACTTGGGAGACGTGGTACCGAACAAGAGCTCCCCCCAAGGCTATGCTGATGGCAGGGGAGACAGAAGGCCTAGGACTGAGCCCCAGAACCACGCTCTGTGTCCGTAGCTAGTTTCCCAAAGTCCTGCCTGCCTCCCACACAAGCTCGGATGGAGTTAAGGAACACCTAAGAAAATCAACTGTCAACGACAGCAGCAACCCGATTCACCTTTGGCTGTGCCGGGGTCCAGGGAGACCAGGAGAATCAAACACTCACCCCTGGCAGGACCAGCCCTTCACACAAGACGCCAGGGGCAGGCGGCCCTCCTCAGTTTGAAAAGACCGGCGTGAAGGTGACCTCCAACTCCCGTTCACAGAGAGGAGCTGTGTAAGCGAGGCCGCCCCGCCCCAGGGCCCGTGCGTGCTCCCAGCTGCTGCCTCTTAACAGCACCAAAGAGGCCAGAAGGGCAAGACTCGAGAAGGTTCTCTCCTCCCTCCTCTCCTCCTCTTCTTCCCGGCCAGGAAAAGAGAAGCATTGGAAAGCAGCTCTGAGAAAGAGGCCCGGTCAAGCACTGGCACGACCAAGGGGAAGCCATAGCCGGGTTTTGGTGTTTTAATAAAATGCTCAAACACATGAAATCTACTAAGAGAGGACGTGACAAAATCTGCAACCTGAAGACCCCACCTGCCTTTCCCACTGCCCCCGGGCCCTCAGGGGCCACCCTCCAAGGAAATAAATGTACTTCGTTAACACAATACACAAGACCCCTATATTCACCCACCCACCCTCCTCCCCCCCATGTTCCCCCTCCCCCAGCCCTCGGAGCTCCCTACTCTGCTCGGGCTCCCACCACCCACTCACCCCAAATAACTGTGTCCCTCCTGTTCAGTCTCCAGACATCCAGCTTTGTCTGTCCCCTTGTCTTAAGATGCAGCACTACACACGCTCTCAACACTAGATAGCAGACCCCTTACCTTAGTGGCCTGTCTGATTGCATGCATGTAAATGGGGGAGAGGGGTCAACCAAATCAAGGCTAGGCATAAACAAAGCAATATTCGTAAAGCTAGGCAAGCGAGCGTAACATTGGAGAAACATAAGGCTTGAGGCTTATTGATTCTTTAGGTCGTAACGGTTTGGATTCGCTCTCCTTCTTAAATATCAGGTGTACCAAGTTGGCTTCAAATCAATCTCTTCTTGCTTCTGCCCCTCTCTCTGGGGAGGGGTTGCTTAACTCAGGGAAGTGATGTTGGAACGGCCTCCAGGGGGCGCCACGATGCGCTTGCTGGCCGAGCGGATCCCTTCATCCACTTGGGTGCCTGCATGGGCAACACATTCCCAGGGAGAGAAATCGGGAGGGGGAGGGCGTGGACAAAAGAGAAATGGGATTAATGTTAAGAGTCTAAGCTGTTAGGTGCCTTCTGTCCTCTTCACCCAGGAATCTTCCATTTTCATTTGGGCGGTCTTCCAGACTTTTCATACTCGCCCTTTTGAAGCCCACCCTCTGCTGGGGAAAGCCAGGTTTACATCTGGATTTCATCCTACCCCCTCCCTCCCCCCCGAATCATAACAATGGTAATAAAGGCAACGATGGGAATGTTATGAGAAATAGCTGCTCCATTCACGTGACAAGCAACGTTTTAAGTGTTTCTCTGTTTTACTCAACTCTCCTCACAATCTTTCCAGAAATGGACTATTATCACAGGAAACACCAGTGAGTCTCTCTGTCCATTCAGAAGGAGCCAGGGAGCAACAGGAAGGGGCAGAAACACTGGCTAAGATCTCAGCAAAGAGCATGCTGTGACCTCTGGCCATGTCACCTGAGAGCTTTCAGCCCTTTCCTTTGTCTTCCTCCCTGATCTATGTCCCCCTTACTCTTTTCTCCCCATAGCCTGCTGCTCCCCTGCTTACCCCCTCTCCTGCCCTCAGTTTTCTCTTTAAACATCTCTGTCCTTTCTTAAAAAAAAAAAATATATATTACTTTATTGATTTTTTACAGAGAGGAGGGGAGAGGGATATAAAGTTAGAAACATCGACCAGCTGCCTCCTGCACACCTCCTACTGGGGATGTGCCCACAACCAAGGTACATGCCCTTGACCGGAATCAAATCTGGGACCCTTGAGTCCGCAGGCCGACGCTCTATCCACTGAGCCAAACAGGTTAGGGCGTCTGTCCCTTCTTGTTATCCTGCTTCCCTCACATTTAAATTGTTCGTCATAGAGATGCTAACCTACATTTATTTTTTCGCAATTTAAGAGGACTGGTTGTGGAGGAATTGAATCATTATTTCGTATTTATATCAGGCAGTTCTTAAAGAACAGGTAAGATTTCTGATATGGCTGCCCAAGGTAAGAGTCCAATCAGCAGCGGCTGCTGCTAGCTTGATTACTAGTACGAGGAAAGGCGAAATAAAAATCCT